GGCATTAATACACATCTTAACATTAGTTATCGACAATGTGGCACGAAAAACTTTTGTATGAAGTTAAATCACAGCCTGTGTCTGTGAAACAGAGTTTTTAAGTTTTCAGTTCAGAATGTAAGCTAGCCAGATCACCAAGCTGTCCCAGTGTAAGCGATGGGGAATCTGAGCTGGCATGCTGCCCTGCGCTGCTCCCCTCTCCTTGCAGCTCAGCAGCAGTCCTGTCCGGCCCAATTCATTTGAATCAGATTACAATCTACTATTAGAGCCATATTTTAAAAGCCTTGGAAGAACAAATCCATAGTTAATGGGATGTGTTTGCAATCTTACACGTGTTTTACACAATTTTGATTTCAGTGGTCTATGTATTGAGAAGATTAGTTACTGCCTGTGCACTCACACCACGCCACAAGATGGTCCTGCGTTTTGAAGACCAGCCAAAGTCTGAGTCAATGCACGCTTCTACGTACTTGCAGATAAAACCTACATTGTTACCGCTGACTATATCACTAATTATAGAGAATAAAATACCATCCCCCCCTCGAAGAGAGCATTCTACATGGGAGAGGACTGAGTACCCAAATTAAAATTAAAATGAATGCAAACCCGGATATAATACCGTGTTTAGAAATATAACATACTACACTGCCACAAGCATGATCTTTGTCCTGTTGTAGTGCCAGTATGGAATAATCCCCTAATTAAAACATTTTTTGTGGTTGCACTACATATACAGTGGCATCCAGACTTCAATAATCAAATGTCGTCATTTCCCCCTTGATTCTGCTGCAACGGAGAGTTAATAGTCTTTAAACACAGCCTGTTGATGCTGACGGGTTTAAGAAACACAAAACCTTTAGTGAACTGGTCATGCAATAATCACCTACAGCAAAGAGATCTGAGGGGTGAAATTTGTATTTTTTTCACAATCCCTCAAAAATATAACCCCTAAATAATATATCTACAAATTCTCAGAAGGCCTTGTCAAGGATACACTATTTCTTGACATATCATCAAGATCTAATCCTTACTTTAATTCAGATCCGTAAGGTGGGATAACTGCCATTCCTCACGTCTGGACAGCCGTAGCATTTTCAGTCCCAGACAAAAACACAACAACTAGTGGTTATCTAATTTAGCAAGATTATTGCCCAATCAAAGTAATATTGTAAATTAACATTTGAACCAGGTGCGCTTTTATTTTTTGGCACAGAAAAGCTCCTAAGTTCTCCTGACGTTTTCCAATACCTGCTCTACCATTTAATAGATCGCTCATTTGAAATGAGTGCAGCGACCCCACCACAACTCAGCAATGAGACAAAGACCAGCAAGTTGGGTCAAAAACATCCCAAATAGGCAAATGTGATTTCTACCTCTCATGTGGAAATCTCACTAAAAAATGTTCTTGGGCGAGGCAAGGCCTCGCTGAAGACAGCTGCCGAACCACCCCTAACGTCCTTCCTGCCCGCGGGGCAGGGCCAGGCTCCGCTCCAGGTGCCGGGAGCGCTGCTGGGGTCCAGGGGGGAGCAGGTACGGGCAGGGGAGGCACAGCCCCACAGTGGGACCTGCTGGGGGAGCCTGGCAGCTGGGGTGGCCCTGGTGGGAAGCGAAGGATCCACCATTTTCAGAACAACAGGACTCGGTGCCTTCTTCATCAATAAAGAGGATTTCCCCAAAGCTTCCTGCTGCCGTCAGCAGTTTCTCCTCAAAACAGCCTCAACGTGCGGCCCACCCCTTGCCTGTAAAAGGGGTAGAAGCCATGGGATGGCCTCCCTTTTTAGCCGTTTCTTTCAGTTGCTCACTGACTTGGGTCCCTGCCTTGGGCATTTGTTCTGCCATTCCGAACGCCTTTTGGGCTGTCACCTCTTCCCTCCTCCTGCCGGGAGCGCTGCTGGGGTCCAGGGGGGAGCAGGTACGGGCAGGGGAGGCACAGCCCCACAGTGGGACCTGCTGGGGGAGCCTGGCAGCTGGGGTGGCCCTGGTGGGAAGCGAAGGATCCACCATTTTCAGAACAACAGGACTCGGTGCCTTCTTCATCAATAAAGAGGATTTCCCCAAAGCTTCCTGCTGCCGTCAGCAGTTTCTCCTCAAAACAGCCTCAACGTGCGGCCCACCCCTTGCCTGTAAAAGGGTAGAAGCCATGGGATGGCCTCCCTTTTTAGCCGTTTCTTTCAGTTGCTCACTGACTTGGGTCCCTGCCTTTGGCATTTGTTCTGCCACTTCCGAACGCCTTTTGGGCTGTCACCTCTTCCCTCCTCCGGGCACAGGTTGCCTCAGATCTGCACCGCTGCAGGCACCTGACCCCGCTTGGTCCACCCCAAATGCACTGTAAGAGCTTGTGCTACTTGGTGCTAATGGAAAACCTCCAGGATTGTCCCTGGGGAAGCTGCCACGTCCCCTCCTGTTCATGCCAGCACTACGGGACACCAGCGAAACATCATCCTCTGGTGGAGCTGCTACAACGTTAGCAAGCTGGTGGGCTTTTATTCCTTGCTTTGGCACAAAGGAAAAACCTCCCCCTGCTTTTCACTCAATGGGAACTATCAGAAGGGATGCTGTGAACTTACGAGCTAAATTAGCTTTACTTTTTCCATCTGCCAAGGTAATGCTTTCACCCGCTGACGCCAGCCTTTGACTGACCACAATTTCCACCGCACTTCTATTATAACTCCAGCTGCTGCCTCGTGCTTTCTCTTCTTTGCATAGCAATTCACAGTCACCGTGGGCCCTGTGCAAAGGGCCCTGCTATTTTTCCTGAGGTGCACAAAATGAGACTGATTTTCGTGCCGCACTGCGTATGTGACATGCAGGCACACCAAAGCGCTCTCTCAACCACTGGACACACACAGCTGTTTTAGCAAACACCACAGAGATGCTGAAATGCCATCCAGTGACCACAGAAAGAAGGTTGGGCCATAAGCTTCATCTGGGATTCATCTCATCCAGTTTTAGCTGTGTAAAGGTTAAGCATCTAAAGTAATTGCATATGGCCCCGCACAGTCATCAGGGAAGGGCTGAGTGCCTCAACCACAGGCTGCAGCGCCATTTCAGAGGTCGTAAGGTATCTCATCTGGCCTCCACAATCTGCTCCAGGTCACAGGTCTCCTCTAGATCCTGGGTCCTATCTGCCAGCCCCTAGAGATGCTACAGACTCCATAAGGTCTCTCAGTTGACACCGAGGCAACGCAATCATGCCCCACGGAGAGGCACTTGAGATAGGACCTCAGCAACTTTTTTGCACAAAATATTTAACTAGCTACATTTAGGAGCTGAATCCCATTGTGCGCCAAGAGGTGCAGAGTTCTGGAACATTCATCTATAGACCTATAGGTTTGCTTGCTGTTTGCTTCATTACTGCACGTAGTTAACTAATCACACAGGTAACAGCGGGTGGGACTTACCTCCAGGCTGTAGGCAACTAAAATTTGGTATGGAGAACTACAACTTCATCCAGATGGCCTCTCTTAGGTATCTACTGCCGTCAGACTTCCTTACTGCTCTCCAGCTGCTTGTTCAGCTTTAGATGTACAGATGTCTATAGATGCACCAGTTTAGGTGTCTTAATCCCTGACCTGAATCTTACTCCAGTAGTAAAGCAAAAGGTAACTGGGCCCAAATGCTTTTCATAACATCAGCACCTCTTCACCCTTCCATTCACGAACTACTCAGTGAAAAGGCAATGTTCGTTACTGTAGTATCTGCTGAACGTTTGTTTTGCTATTGCTAAATAAAATCAGGTAAGAGTTTTGCTGAATTATTTTGCTTGAATAAATGACACCAGAAGTACACAAAACCAGTCTGTGTCATCTGATCACCAGTATCTTCAGAAAATGTCCCATTTACTTCTTATGGCAAAGCTCAGACACTGAAAGAATCATTTGGTCAGTAAAAACAATGAATATAATTTTGAGCAATAAAGAAATTCTAGCTTAAAAAAATAAACAAACCAAGAGCCAACTCTTCAGCTGCTGAAAACTTTATTCTTTTGTTACTTCATACACCTGAGCTATGAAGGCTTGTACAAAAAAATAAAATAAAATAAAATCCCAGTATGGTTTTACTGATGTTAAAACTGCAGCCTCATATTTTTTAATCATTTACTGTACATATGAAGAGGGGGAGAAAAACTGCCAATGAATCTACTGAAAGCACTTAACCTTTTCGAGTGTATGTCACTAGGATTGCAATGAGGATTGTCTAAGATGCTTCAATTTTTTTAAGAAACGCCAATTTTATTCAAATCTTTCTGCAGAAGTGTGCCCCATTTCAGGGAGAAATTCACTGAAAAGTGAACTTCAGTTCAAACCCTTTTGCTGTCTCATCCAGAAAAAAAATCCTTCAGTTCTTACTGAACAGAGCAAGGGCCTGACTTTGTCTCCTCCATCTAGTGGGAATGCACCAAACAGCAGGCCACTGAGAGATAAAGAAGGGATTACAAAAAAACATATTCAAACTTCCCTTACTAGTAGAATTCAAAATAAAATACCTGTAGCAGCCTCAGCTGCAACAGGGAGTGCAGCAATATGAAGAGATGAATATTTGGGTGGAATGTAAGAAGCATATCCTCCAGTGGAGGAATGAAGTCCATCGGCAGGTGGAAGGTGTAGGTATGTAATACGGCTTGCAGAACCAGATCCTGTGAGAAGCTGAGTGGCTTTTGCAAGATGCTATTTGAGGGTATCCAGCACTGAGGTGTGGGAACCATGAAGCCCCCAGATAGCATATTGCAGATTTGGGTCCCTAATGCAATATAAAACGTATTTGCTCCAGTTAGTGACCTGAGAACTTGCTTTGGGTTAGTTTTTCCCCCAAGCATTTGCTCTTAAGTTAATTAAGCATGTAAAAATAACAGTCTCTCACCTTCCAGAGACTCCACATAAATACTACTCTCTCTTCTTCTAAGGGCCAGATTTTCTGCAAGGGCAAATCAATAGTTTCACTGATTGAGGATCTGGCCTTAAAAGTCTATCCAGTGCATTAAAATCAGCGCAGCATGATATATGCCTTGGCAGTAGAACAATTCTCCAGGTTAATATTTGAGGGAAATTTGGCAGTAAAAAAAAAAAAAAAAGCTCTATTTTGAAATGCTGCCGTTTGTTTAATCAGTGCTGACCACCACAGTTTCTTCTCTTGTGAACTGTACGGTTACAGCTGGAGTTTCACTGTCGTTCTCATCGAGCTTCAGTGCAGCGTTGTCCAAGCCGGTGCTGCCAGGCTGTGGCAAGGCAGTGGGCTCTGCCGTCTGAGTCGGAGTGGAGCAATACAAGATGAAGCCCACCATGATGATAACGAAGGACAGGATATAAAGACCTGAAAACTGGCAGAGGAAAGAAAGAAACATGTTAAGTCATCTCATATAAAAAAAAGTCAATGCTGCCTTGTTTTAAGAATGTGAAAGGTACCCTTTCTTTTTAAAAATATTTTAATGAGGATTATCACCACAATCTGTATTCAGGTCTGAAAATCAAAATTCAGCAGCCCCGTTCACTGATAGACTCAAGCTGCTGGCTGGTTTTCTCTGCATCTCATCCTCAACACTGTTGGACAGGGAGTTTCCTTAGGTCTACATACAAGAATCTTAGCAGAGAGAACAAATGGCTGTAAATATGGTGATACTGAAGGATAGCTGTTTACACACATGAATGCTGAAACACTGTACCCTTAAGAGAATTTTGCTTCAGCACAGCCAAATATTTCAGGTCCTGGCAAGACATGAATCTCTCCATCCTACTGCAAGTCACCAGAGCAGCTGGTTCTCTGCACAGCTCTTAACCATCTGCAGGGCTAGACAAATGTTATTACTGGACCAAAACTGGTTTGCTCTCACACCCAGCAAGTCCTTGAAGAGAGGGAGACTGGGGCTCCTTTTACAAGATCAGCATTTGTGCTCTGTTAAGAGTGGTGTGAGGTAAGAGTATGAACTGCCAAGGTACATCAGGCATTTGATTCACTATCATTCACTTGCCTGTTAAAAGTCCAATTGTTGAGATTCATCCACCTTGACAGAAAAATGCACGCTTGCTTCTTAACACCAGATGCAATAATACAAAGTGTTTAAGTTATCCACAGCCAGGAACACTTTTTCAGCAGATTTGTTGAAGTCCTCCATATTGGCTTTGCCAAACTACACTGATTAAACAGTAGGATGAAAGACACAGCACATCCTATATCCTACCGTCAGTACTCCCTAACCTCCTTAGCTTCTTTAGATGTGCTTGAAAAGTATGTTCTAGCTTCTTAAGCAGCAGAGCTGGATGAAATGAATGGTAGGACCTGGACAGTGGACTCTGATGCAAAAAAGACTGAAGCATCTACAATTAAGGCATTGCAGTTCCTAGCTGGTAGTCAGTTGGCTCGGAAACCCTTGGATGGCACCATGCAAAAGCAAAAGCAGGCTGCAACACAGTGGCCTTGTGATACGTGCCCTCTCTCCTCACCTTGCTGGCTGTTTGCCTGGAGGAGCTTGGACCCAAGCGTTCACTCCGCACAGGAGGAAGCACCAAGCTCTGAAGACGTCCTGATGGAGGCAGCGGCAGCAGCGTCCATGGCCCTACCTGTGACTGACCCATTCCCATCAGACAGGCAGAGCCCAGCTCTGCACCAAGGCACCTGGACAACTTCTCCAGAGTGCAACCTAAGGCCATGAGGGAACATGTGCTTGCATGCAAGGACATGTGGCTGGCGGGCGAGACTGGGCAGTCACAGCAACTGCCAGAGCCCCTCCTGTAGTGCGTACAAGGCAGTAGGTGTCTCTGATCCTGCTCAGAATGGATTCTTCCATGAGTGGATACACAATCACCGAGCCAGGGTGCCAAAGCCGTTGCAGCGTAGCTGCGATTCAAGGCCTGCCTATGTGTTTGCAGCTATTGAGACAGGTGAACCTTAACCATACTGCTCCAACAGGCCTATGCTCCCCCCATCCACTTTCTTTCATTTTTGGGGAGGGCTCAGTGGTCTTTTCTTGTGTTTTCTTCCTGTTTTTTTTTCTCATTTCAAATATTGCAGCAACTTCATTGCTTCAGACACTGCTTTCGGTCATACTTGTGCAGCTTATATCCCCATACTCACCATCAAGCCTAAAGACTACTTTAAATGTTACTGGAGGACTGTAACTCCATCTAGTGTCTGTACTTACAGTATACTCCCTTCCATAGGAGTTTATACAACAAAAGAGACCTTTTTTAATACCTCTTGAGGGATTACAGGTATCTGTATATAATGAGCTCATTAGGAACAAGCACAGCAAAGATTCGGTATGGAGCAAAAGGAAAAAAAAAAAGAGCTCATCAAAACAGGTATGCAAAATTTGCATTTCACCTTAAACAGACATGGTTGGGGCTGAAAAGTTGTGCACAGTGTTTTTTGCTAATGCACTCAAGTCAAAACCTCAGAAATCCCTGGGCCCGGTGTCTGCTGTAGCCACCGTATGTTTGTGCTGCTTGTTCCAGAGCAGGCTCAGACCGCAGTAATTCAGAGCTCTCCACGGCTGGCTCCTCTGCAGCCCAGCCAAGCCTTCGGTGGCTTGCTGTGAAATATCATCGGGTAGTGGGGAATACAGAGCAACTCCTTGCATTTTTATTTGTAGATTCCTGTATCCAGGGTGCTTTTTCATTCAGGAAATGTCCTGCCTGGTTTCTTTGCCCCATAGGTAAAGAAACTATATGGCTAAGTTGGCAATAAGATTTTCTACTGCTAAGTGTTACGTTAAAAGCCATGTCAAGATCAGACGCTCTCAGTTCTTGGTTCCTAAGCTATCTCAGAACTCTGATTACTAAAGATGTGGCATTATTATTGCTCCCCTTTTTGCTATTTCATTGTTTCTAACCACAGATGCAAGTTCCTATATTAATAAATATCTGAAACGCTCTCATAATACAATCCCAAAGTCTCCTCTAATTCATTTTTCCTTTTTATTACCAGAATACCCCGCAGTTAGTAATTATGGGATGATCTGCTCCCAGCAAAACCTCTCCCCAAAATAAGCTAAAAATCCTGAAGAATAAAACTTTATTATATTCCTTCCAAAGCTCTTGCTTACTTCTTCCTCTTTACTATTATGAATATAAATTTATAATCCTTTCTTGAGTTAAGCTGTCTGGGTGCCAAAATACATGTTTGGAAGCGACTTAGAGAGCATTTTTTTGATTGTTAGAATGTAAGTATGGTTCACTTCCTACATTCATTTTTAATGGATGCTTTGTAGCTTGGAGCAAATTTTGGAACCCAAAACAGGGAGGAAAGCTGAGCTAAGAGACTCTTGAAAAGGAAAACCTAGCTGCTGTTGGACCCTACCACTGCCAGACCTCCACACTGTAAAATAAATTGGCCTTCATTTTCAGAAACAAACCTGACCTAAAAGTTTCTGGCTCTCCATAATGCTGGAGAGAAAGCAACGACATGGAATAATACAAATCAAGTTCTTAAGCAAAGTTCACGAGCATCTCACTAAGCCCCTTCCAGTCACCGAGCGACTGACTCAATTGCTCCAATTGCTGTAATGAGCTAGGTTCCCACAAATTATTCTGGATAAAGAGCGTAGGGTGGAATGAAACCTTTTAACACTGTCATTTAGCTTGAACAGACACTACCAAAGATATTTTAGAGCACAATAAAAGTAACTGCCTTTTGGAGAGCATACAGAATAATATATTTATCTGCATTTTTTTCAGTTCCTTTAGTCTCTCCTTAGCAGTAACACAGAGAGATTCTTATCCCAAGATGTTGGTAATGAATAGATTAAGTTTCTAAAAGAAAACACTAATTTCTGGAAATCAAGCCAAAATGCTCCTCTCTCAGACACCAGATGCTTTTCAGGACAGGGAAATTCACACGCTCTCTTTGGACACTTGGAAAGATGAACCAAATCTAACATACAGTTCCACACAGGGCTTACAGCAAGAACTCTACAATTTGAACACCTCAGCAAATTATTTACTATCTCTTTACATTAACTCTTAACATATTCCATCAAGTGTGAAACTGTTTGAAAATCACTATCTGCCTAATGGTGCATGCTATGTAATCAACTAAGTATGACTCCTCCTGATTGACACCTGCCAACAGCGAACGATAACAAGCTGTAGAAACGTATAAGTGCAAATGACTGTTCAGGGGCTTTTACGAACACTATGCTTTATTTATCATTTTAGAGTAAAGCCATAACTGAAATTATAGTGAAAGAATGAAGATACTTACCTTATAGAAAAAGAGGAAAAGCCCAAAGAACAGACTGTAGAGATCTGCAGTCAGAATGCCCAGGTTGACCGAGGTTGCGCTGGTAACTTTAATCACTACTGGCATGAAGCTATACAGCCCAAACATACAGAGGGCAAAGACTGTGAACAGTAATGCTGTAAAACAAGGTGACAATTTAGTTCTAAGGCACGACATGGAATATTGACTTTAAAGAACACCAATATTCTTCAGATGCTTTAAAACTATGCATTTTTATCTTTTAGGATAAGGTCTCCTAAAAGATATGGGAATGTAAATTTAAGAAAAACATGGCAGAAATACTTTTTTTCCAAGACTACCCTGTGTTGCAAAAATTACTATATCTATACAAGAAAGTTCTCGTTCTTTCCTAGTTAACGTAACAGCTGGCTGAAGAAATTTAGAGCCACATTTCTTAGTAACGTACAGTTCTGTTGAGGTCAAAATGTGTCACAAAATCCATTTCCCCAGTATTTCATTTAGGAAGGACAACAGAAAAACGTTCTTGTAACGCTCCAACACCAAACATGTCTGTAATTAAACAGGTTTAATTTTTATTTATTTCAATTTGTTTTGAAAAATTATTTCATGTTATATGTAAAATGCAAAACCTGAGCTCAGAGGTTTTAATGTTCAATCCTGCAAACCTTATCCTTTACTGAGCTGCAAAGTTTGCAGAAAATAAATTTGTGACAATATGAATGCTGCTTAATATCCAGAGAAAGAAAATGAAAACCCCAGCATTCGAAGTCTAAATGATTATAATTTTCCAGTGTTCTGTAAAAATGCACATCACTTTGTCATACACATACCAATTTTCCAGTTCCACTGAATTCTCATTATCTCCCTATGTTCCACAATGGCTCTAGAGTTAGAGAAAAGATATAATACAGTAAAAAAGAAAAAAAAATCATATTCAAATAGATAATTCAATTACCAAAATATATAAGAAGCATTTTGATTTATAATTCCTTAATTTTTTGTTTGAAATTTTATTGAATGACACTAACTCCCAACACCTAACAAGCATGAAAAAAGACTTGAAAATTAAAGTGCCTGAAAGTCAAGAGCACTTTTATTTAATTCTTATGCCTTCTTCCCAGGCTTTTTCATCCTTTGGAGATTCAGTTTTATTTGATATACCATTTGAGGAAATTATTAACTATAATGATGAGAAATGAGGAACATAAAATTCATTAGATCGACTTAAGTGCATGTGGTCTGTTACTCTAACGTGGTTATTTGTAAGAGTATGCATGGCTTCATTTTAAACTGAAGTTTAATATGGAAGACCTCCTGCTAATGATTATCTCCTAAACTTTTCCACAGAGAAAATCCATTAAGAAATACACTCCTGTGAACAGTCCTCAGCATACTGAGTGTCCTCATGAAGATCAACAAAATCAAAAATACAACCAAGTACCGTATGTGTTCGATTGCAGGATTTCAGCTTTAGAATTGCTGTAATAATAGTGCAAATAAAGAGGGTATAAAATGGATGCTGATCAGCAACAAAAATAGAATTCAAGTGGAAGGACTCCCATACAGGCCAAATGCAGACATAACAAAGAATTAATTAATAGCAACATCATCATTTCATGGTAGACAAGCAATCATCTGCAGAATATTCTTAATTAGTTTTAAAATAAATATTAGATCCTTACAGCTGTAGACCGCTGATAATAGTCCCAAACAAGCCCACCATTCCTAGAAACTCCACTCTGCTCAGATTTTTCACAATGTATTCCTCACTCACATTAGAAATGGCATACAAAGAAGCACCAAGAAGCACTAAGACATCTCCAATCACCACGTCACTACCTGTACAGAAATATTAATCCACAATAAGGGTAATGCTGCAAACACTTTTTAACTTTCCTTAAAAAGACAAGCAAATTTATCTCTAACATCTCTACCTTCCTAGCACCTTGAAGGGTGAGGGGAAAGGAAACACCCCCTGTGTGTGCAGATGAGCGGCTTGGTGTCTGCGCACAGACTCTGCTACCCGCTCACCTCACCCGGCACAGCCTGGAATGAGCTAAACCCGGCACTGAAATCTCATCCTGACCAAGCCACTGCTGCATAGTCCGGTCCAATTCTACTTCTGCTGACCTTAGGCACTGTATGGACTTGAGAAAATTCCCGGTTAGAGATGCTCTCTGCCTTTCTGAATATTGCCCCCACTTTTGCAGTAAGGCCTGATTCAAGTCTTGCTAAAATCAGTCTGTTGATTTCAGTGGGATCTGGACTCAGCTTCAGGTTTACAACAGGTCTTAAGTGGGCACTGCAGATGGGTGGTATCGTGTGTCCTGCTGTGATTTATTTATACTGTGCAAATGGGACTCCCTGTGATACAATCACTCAGCAAGTAAATGCCATTACGCATCAGCTAAAGAGCAAGAGGATCGCTGTTGTTTAAATCCTTGAATTGATTTAAAATTTCCTTCCCTGAGCCACTTGGCCATCACTAAGAAAATATGTCTGAAATATGAGGGTAAGCAGTAGTAACGATATCCAGGTCAGCGAATAAAGCACAACTGCCAAAGTCTCAGGGAAAGAAGATTTTTCTCCCTCAGGACTGAGATACTTGTACCACATAGCATTAAAGCTAAACCTCAGTTTGTCTTGATGCCTCACCTACAGTAAGGCCCCACAATAATGCCAAACAGGCTTATCTCTATACTGCCTGATGAAGGCAATGCCCCATTCCTCTCCCCCTGAAATTTACCTTGCCTCATACCCTCTGGCTCTGGAAATTCAAAATTCTTATTCAAAATAAGATTGCTATGGTATGGGTTGAGTTAGGCATCTGCCGTAGAGAAGACGAGACCTGCCCTCATCTGCATCCAGATGGATCCTGGACCCCAGAGCCCAGCCTCCCCCCAGAGGTCCCTGGAATCCCGGCATCTTGCCCACGTCTCCTCTTGCTCTCCTGTCCTAAGCCCCTGCTTTCCAGGCGGTGGCCTGTGGGCCTCGGGCATACGTGTACCATTTCTGTTGGGTCTGCCAAAGATAACTCGGAGAAGTCTGCTTGCTCGTAAGTAACTTTTGAGTTGCTATCTGTGCTCATAGAAAACTGCAAATCAGAGAAGTCTGGCTGCCAGCAGGCCGATACAGTGTAAGCAACACAAGGTTTGCAGGGAGAGGCAGCATCTTTTATTAGATCATCTCGCATGATTAGTAAAAGTGAATAAGCTTTCAAGAATGAGGCCTTTCATCAGGTCTGATGAGCAGCAGCAAAATTTAAGCTTAATGCAAGTGTTTCTCTTTTAAGGTGGAAGAAATAATCCAAACCTACAAGCAAAGAAATTCCACAGCTCCCTATAATTCAGCATCTTCTCAGCCACTGTCGTCTTGGACAAGAAATACAAATAGCAGCATGTCTTCTCCTTTTCTCTTTTAAAATAAAACTATATTCACTCCCCCTGCATTTGCTCCTCTTTCTCCTTCACAAGTTAGCCCACCACGGGAACCGTCTCTCCGCTCGTCCCCCCCACGATGAAGGACTCCTTACCTTCGCTGTCCTGCCTCCCTGCCAAAATGTCTGCACCCACCATTGTTCCTACACCCAGCAAACAGACAGCAACAGCAAGAAAATGGATCAGCCTGTATCTTGCACGGAGAATGAACCATGACAAAGCCATCAGCACAGGAATCCCGAAACAGTCCAGCAGCTGTGTGTACAGAGAAATGGTTTGAATTAGAAACCCACCCCAAGTGTGGATTGCACTATCCTGAAAGCAAATGTACAGGATCTTACTTTCTGTTGCTATCAGATGTTAATGAAGCCACACAGCAACCCCAGTGGATTCACTTAAAAGAGGGGTCAGACCCACATTTTACCACAAAAAGCATTTTGCATGTGAGAGAGGAGCTGGAGCGAGGGTCCACTCTCTCCTGGTAGGAAGGCATTGATCTAGAAACTCTTCTAATGATGGATCTAATCAATCTTTGCAGCTTCACAAACTAATGCTAGGATGCTGCTCTGAAATTGCATTGCTCCCCATGACACCAATACAAGGAGGCAGTTCACCGCCATTTCCTTTTCTCCCCAGCAGGTTTTGTCTAGCTCGTCTTTTCACTCCTCCTCAAGTCTGCAGTTAAGAGTTTAGGGCTCCATGTACACAAAAGAAAAATCTGGAACTATTAAAGGATAAAAGTGATCTGATTTTACATTGAAGTGAATACGGCAAGAATCTGACCCTGTGGTTTTGGGTTTTTCTTTTCCCCAACTGGATCCTACTGGAAAAAAAAAAAAAAAAAAAGGTACATGTGCTGGGAACCACATGCAAAATTAGTAGAAGGAAAGCAGGAAGGGAAGAACAACCTTCCTAAAGTCACCTTCCCAATCTTCTAGCTTCCCACAAAAGCATGTAGAAGCCACTGATGCATCTTCATTACTCTGTTAGAGCTGACTCTCAATTAGTCAGAAGGAGGTCACCCACTCTAATTCACCCATGCCCCAGCAGCAGAGACACACAAGGCAGCTGCAGTTCCGAAGAACTTTGGATGTGTTTGCAGACACTGCCCCAAGCAGACTTAATAGCTAAGGTTCAAGGACGTCTGTACTCCACAACAAGCAGTGACACCAACTTCTCTTTCCTTTCTTCATTATCCCCTCTCTGTGTGTTTCTAAAATCCTACGTATCTTTGCCTTGCTGTTAGACCCACCCATCTCCTACTCATTCTTCGTTATTACAGAAACTATCAAGAGTTAGCTATGTACTTAATACAGAAAAGTAAGCTGCAGCATAAGATAGGCACAATGTCCTAGAATAACCAAGTAATACCAAAAACATTGAGCTAACCATAATTGGTTTAGTATTTAAATCAACAAAATAGACTTTGTTTCTGAATTTGTCTGGAGGAAAAAAAAAAAAAGGTGTATTTTCTGACCTGCCTCAGTAGAGTACCATGAAACTATATAAGGTAACAGTCTACAGCAGAACATATAGTCAGCCTTCCAAAGACTGCTCACAAATTACTCTTAAATGTCAGCCCTTAAAACCTGGCCTCTTGAAGTCACTACGAAGTATTAGGTCCAGGTCAACAGGACTGGAGCATAATCGTTACAATCAAGACAAGAGCCCTTAGTCCTTAATGTTCATTGCCAGCTTCTGCCTGCCTAAGTGCACCACCAGTCTTCTGCTGTGCTGGCTTCTGCTAGGTCACCCATCGTCCCCAAGGGTTTTAACCAAACTTGTAAGACTTTCATGGTAAGTTTGGTTTTACTTGTTCCTAACTACACATATTAAAGTCTTACCAGCACAGCATTTAGGGGAGTTATTACAGATTAAATTCTAATCCTTCTACCTATTTGTCTTCATTCCTTGGATTGCCTCCAGTTTGTCCAGTTTGAGAAGTCTGTGCAAAATCACTTGCCTAGACTGCACTGGGAGCTTAGACATTAGAGCCACACAAGTCCTAATGTGTGATACCACGTATTTCAATACAAAAAAGTATCATGCTGTGAGTTTTTATCTAGTCACAGGCCTTTTTCTCTATCTTACCTTTTGTTTATGCTCAAAAAAAACCCTTTCTAACATTTCCTCCAAATTTGACTGTTTTGACTAGTATCAAACAACTGTCATTTATCTCTTTCTGCAAAACATACAATTTAGCTCTTGTAACTGTTTTTCCATCTTTGGTCTGAACCAGTTCTGTCCTGAGTATGGAAATGTACTTGATCTCTCTAGTGTGAAGTTGCAATCACGGAAACTAAGAAATATTACAAAAATTAAAAAGGAAAAATTTTACTCCCCTAGTAGCAGACATCTATTAATATGTAAGCTTTCACTTCCCTGTTACTTGAGATGCTGCCATGTAGCTTTCCAGCCTCCAAGCAGTTTTTCAACCCAAATAGAAAGAGAGGAACAAAAACCCTTTTAAAAAAAAAAAAATCTTAATTAAGATGTAAGGGAGTAGTACATAATGAGCCAGAAGCTCTTTCAGTAACACCAGATGGGGAATTGCTGTATCCAGACCAATAACATGCTGTAGAGCTACAGCATCCTGGTTAGAGGACTCGTAGCCAGGACACACAGGCACCAAATGATGACGAACACGCCCTGGTAATCCGTTCCAGGGGGCAATTACCCTCAATTACAGACAGAAGAAATCTGATTTCCAACTACTGGATCCTGCCTTCCCTTCATCTACTATGTTACAGAGCTCTTTGGTGGAAAATGTTCTCTTCTGCACAGGATGAAGATCAAAGAGGTGCAAAGCAGATATAATATCACAATGAATTGTGTCAATGGAGCCATTTAAAAGAATAAAATTTATTTATTCAGGTTTTATGACATTTACTGTGGTACTGATTACTATTGCCAGTAAAGCCTCAGCAAACTCTCGTCTTATTCAATTCTAGCCTGTATTTTTACAAAGGGAAAAAGCAGATAACTTGGTGATTTGATTTACAAATGTTTTCACTCAAGCCAGGCTTTGGCCACACTGTTTATAGGAGGTTTTAAAAGTAGGGCGAGTAAATTATTAAAAGACGTTTTAATATATGGTTAATAAATTATCACAGACTGTTGGAGGTCACTGGTTTGCTTATAATTGCCAGCTCCAGACAGCTCTGTGAGCAAGAAAGCTCAACAGCCCCTCCTGCTCGCTTCCCCGCAAGGCTCCCTTAGGGCAGCCTCCAGCTGAGCCCCAGGGGCTCATCCTGCTGTTTCTCCTATTGAGGTTAACACTCTTCCATCAGCTGATATTCTGTCAATAGCTGCCTATAAAATGCCTCCAGTCAAATTATCTATGGAGCAAATGGTAATCGTGCCTAAAAACATGCTGACAACATGAAACCACAGCTATACTGCTTGGTTTTTTGCTATGAAATATGTGCTTACACGGCAGCACAGTCAAGTCCTGCCACAAGACAGAAGCATGCTGTCACCAAGAAGTCTCCCTGGCATTGATTCAGCCACAGCCAAACAGAAAGAGCTCGGTTGTGGACCAAAGCCTTTTTCTTTATTTACAGAGAAATGAGAGATGCCATCCCAATGTTATCTCTGTAAAAATCTCCCAAGCCCTTCCGTGCAATGCTGGTATTTGATAACTAAAGGAAAATCTGTTTTGCTTTTGTATGCGTGTGTGAGAAAATACGTGGAAGTTCCTTGCTGAGCTGAGAAAACTTATCTTTGAAGATAAGTTTCATAGGGCTGAGCTGAAGCTCGAGCCAGCCAGCACTTTAACAGTAATTACCCTGCATTCTGGAAGGTGCCATATACTCCTGCGTGCCTCATATGCTCCCTGGGCATCCTCTCACAGCCAGCACTGCAGACAGGCCATCAGGCTGGGTGCTCCGAACCACAGGTTCGGATGTAGCTGCAGAACCGCTTGCTACTGACAGAGACCAAATGCCTTGTACTGGAGCAAATCACAGGCTTTTTTGGTCCTGTATCTCATTTCTGACAGCGGTGAGAAACTGGTGACTTCAGAGAATGTGCAAGAAACCTTACTGCAACAGGCAGTTACAACAAATTCACAATTACTAAACTGACACTGAAAGAAGCATCACTCTGAAGGTTACCACATGGCAAGAAGCTTCAGCAAATGCTCGAGTTTGGCAATTGGAAAGGACAACCTACTGTATCTGTTCTTTCTTAATTTCTATGAAAGAAATCATGGGAATAGCTTTACCACTACTGAGAATATGGATCAAAGTCCTGGCATTTTCAGCTGTAAAGTATATGATCAAACAGTGTCTCAATTATCAGCTTAATTTGATCTTGAGACTGAAATGTGTCACTTTTAAAGCTTTGATTTCTTAAGCATTATTTGTAAGGAAATTAAAGGCCTAATGAGTCATAATACATAAGTATGAACTGGAAATGTGGCAATAATGATCCATCAGGCACATGTTACTGGCCTTTAAATAGTGCAAGGAAAAGTTACTGCGGTTCTCTAAAGGGAGCCCAGACCACAGGAGTTTATTGCTTTACAGGTAATTCTTTTAAATATTAACCCTTGTTACTTTGACTCTGTAAAATGCTGACACCTAAACACTCCTTTCCAACTAAGGGCCAATTCTGTATGATACATTATTTTTTTATTCAGGTAAGTGGGGCCATGACCCTGGCCACAGATCCACCATGGGTAAGAGCAGGCGTAGGCTGGCACAGCCCCGGACTCACTCCCTCCTTGCTTCTGCCCCATCCCCTCCCTTGTTCCAGCAGCAGCAGCAGCTGTGGAGCCCCACAGGGAGCTAACTTGGGCCTGACACGGCTCACCAATAGTCCAACAAAAGACAGGGTTTACTCTGACTCTGCTCAGTGCCCTGAGCCAGTTTCCTCAAGGGATTTGGCCGTGCAAGCTCAGGAGCATGCAGCTGGAAGCAGGAACTCTTGCAGCAGCCTATGTTTGTGTAGGGTAACACAGAAACCCCAGCCTTAGCGCTCCTGCTCGTAGAGCTATTTCAGGACACAAGATTTATCCTAGTGCAACAGTGCAGCACCAAGCACTGGCATTGCAGAGGATGTCTACTGGCACTTCAGGAGCCTGGCATGCTGACCCCCCTTCCACCTCTTCCAGAGAGGGACCTGAACTGAAGTGCCACATCCAAAAGCCATAGGGCTGGTCCCTCACTGCACGGTCAGCACCACCAGCTATCAGTATGTCCTCACGTGTGGGGTTATGTCTCTCAATGCCTCCCAGCTTCTAGGACCAGGCAAGAGATCTACCTCGCTCTCAACAGCAAGACCCTGCGCTGAGTGAGTGTTATCGGGTCCTAAGTCTATACTTTGTGTCAGGAGAAAAACCTGAGTGGCTGTCGGCAAACTCTTAGAAGTGCTTTCTATCAAAATAATTAGAGTTCAACTCAAGAGCTGGCACTGGGTAACACCAGCCAATTTTCTCTGCTTCCTGGAAATGTTATTCATGATGCAGGATGCTCTTCTCTATACTGTAGAGAGAAAATAGATATTGGAAAGCTTTTTCAGGCTTAAATAGCTTCCCTGTCTATCCTATGAATCTCTTTTCAGAAACAGGTCCAAAACTGTAATAAAAGCAATAGTTCAAAACGAGAGATCGGTCCTTACCTGCACACTTGTGAGGGTCGTGTATTGGTAGGCTTTTACAATCATGTAATTGGCTTCAACATCAGCCAGTCCCAAAAAAATATACTTCCACCACCGCTGTTTCAAAATTTGCCAAAGACTGTCACTGCCTGTTTAGAAGAAAGCAGCAATCAATATGCGTTTCCTTTCAACCAAATGTTGCACAGGAATCTTGCTTTTTAGAAGTATAAAAACTGAGACGTTAGATTTTGGTTGCCCCTGCTTAAGAAAGATACAGTAACAGCAAAATGCAGCCTGGGAGGAGACAATGCAAATGGTGAAAAGCACAGAAATTCTTCCACATGAGGAAAAAACCCACAACACTGGAGTTGTTTAAAGAGTAAATTAATAAGAATAGGAGGAATATTAAATAGCCTCTGGTAAAGAAGCTTGTTATAACAAAGCCTATTTTCCCTAATATAACACAGGCCTTGAAACCAAAGAGCACGTAATTTTAAACAGAAGTGAAATGAAATCGAACTAAATGCACATTTAACCTGTGAAATTCATTTCCATGTGTTATTACAAGACAGGAATTTCAGCA